AAGCAAAGACACCACCACCGAAGAGACCTATGGTCAATGACCCTACAATTCCAGGTCTCCTCCTCCTCCTCCTCCTCCTCCTCCTCCTCCTTCTTCTTCTTCTTCTTCTTTTTCTTCTTCTTCGTCTTATTTCGGATTTTCTTATGGCTTCTACAGGGACTTTGTGATATCGGGTAGGCTCAGATTCGAGCTCGAATTTGAGCTCAAGTAGGTTCGGTTCATTATTGAGCTCGAGCCGAACCGAGCTCGAATGTAAGTATTTTTTATTCGAGCCGAATTCAAATTGATATTTCTAGTTCAAATCGAGCTCAAGCCCTAATTCGAGCTTGATATTTTATTGTCGAGCTGAACTCGAATAGTCAAATATTTGGCTCGGCTCGATTCGTATCCACCCCTACTTTATCCAGTGGTCTAAGATATTATGCTAAGAGGAGTTTATGAGGAGCTGGTCGACTGTATTTCAATTCAAGCATAGAAGAAGAACTTCTGAGGAAAGGTTAAAAAACCAATGACTGCGAGTTGAAAAGATTTAAGCTGAGTTGAATTTGAGTTAAGTGAAATCAAAGGAGAGAGAATTCCATCACCAACATGAATTTTGGTATATTTTAAAATTTTGAAATAAATATCAGAATACATTTAAAGTCGATTTAAAAACCATTTAGGATATATTTTAAAAGTTGTCTATTTAAAAAAAGTCAGGTATGTCTTACCTTAAAAACCAAACGTTTAGAACTAGCCCCCGCAGAAGACTGGCAAGCTTACAGGGCTAGCGTCTAATATAACAACGGACCCAGAATTGAGCCAATTATTAATTGGGACTATCGGATTTGGCCCAATAAGACCCAATTATAATTGACAACACTACTTCTAAGTTCTAAGTTCTAACATGTAGGGAGTAGGGACCAGGAATTTGATCAAAAACAATACTACTGTAAATAAATTTGTATTTGAGTTTTGGATTCGGATCCACATAACATTTAAGCAAACATTCATGTAGCCTATTCACAATTTTCTTTTTATTTCTTTTTTCTATTTTATAATGATCAGGGGTTGGAAAAGAGGGCCGGGATGGTTTAAACCTATTAAAAAACTAGTAATTAAGTACATGCATTGCACTGTGGGAAATTTTTCTTCATATTAATTACTTGAATTTTAGATACATCATAGTTAAGATAGAAATTGAAAATTAACAAAAGTAACAATATGATTAAAAATAAACTTAAATGCTTATACCAAATAACAATTATTATTATTATTATTATTATTATTATTATTATTATTATTATTATTATTATTATTATTATTATTAAATTTTGTGTTCCATTTCTATCATAAATAAAAATAACTTTTATTTTAACATTTATTTTTATTTAATATGATGAGTATATAACATTAAAAATGTTCTCAAATGTTTTTGACAATATTCTGTACATTTTCATTTTTGGTGTTCTCTCTTTTTTTTAAATATTTATTATTCAATTAATGGCATTATGGGTTTCTCAGAATATTGGATCATTGACCCACCATCTAGATAAGTAAATAGCTTTGCTTCCGGATTAGTTTTAAATTAGGGAAAATTATAGTTAGAACTGGTTGTACATTTAAAATTAGGCTACAGGTTAGTCCAGAAATCAACAAAACTTTGACAACCGACTCTACATTTCAAATTATAAAAACCCCAACCATGTCATCAGAGGCTTATGTGGCTATTGCCAACATGGGACTCTTAATCTATATTTGACACAACAAAAAGCTTATACTGAAATTACCCTTTAATGTTGGGTGATTAGAAAATAAGAAAATGGTTTTTAGTTTCTCTCTCTCACACACATTCATCTCTCTCTGCTTAATGTTTGTGATTTAAAAATAAATAAAAATGGTTTTCGTTTTCTGTATTTACGTTCTCTCTATTAATTTCTCTCATTCTCTCTCTACTTATCGTTCTCCCTCAATCTCTCTCATTTCTTTCTTAGTCAATCTCTCATTCTCCCGTAATTTCTATCGTTCTCCTTTAGTTTCTCTCACACTGCTCTTGCTCTTTTTTATTTTTTTATTTTCTTATACACTTATATGGTATTAATCAACTCATATAAAAAACATGAGACCAACTTGGTATAGTTCAAAAATCATTACACCAATTTGATAAAAATTCACAAAAAAACTCTTGCCTATGAAATTTACACCAATTTGATATTAATTTATAACTTGATTGTACAAGTGGTTTGGTCTCTTGGTTCTGGTCTCAGAAGAGATGCAGCATTACGAGCCATTCGTAGAAGTGGTCTACAATTAAGTTTTGTACGGGAYGTAACCCCTATGCCACATAATGGATGTAGACCTCCTAAAAAAAGGCGTGTGTAGAAATAAGAACGGAACAGATTTCAAGAGAAATAAATGATTCAATGATCTGATCAAATAATATTACTATGGTTCDAGAGGAAATAGCAGTATCTACTCGGACACTATAGTGGAAGTGTGTTGAATCAAGAGTAGACAGTAAGCGTCTTTATTATGGACGTTTTATTTTGTCTCCGCTTATGAAAGGTCAARCCGATACGATAGGCATCGCGATGCGAAGGGCTTTGCTTGGAGAAATAGAAGGAACATGTATCACACGTGCAAAATCTGAGAAGATACCACACGAATATTCTACCATAGTAGGTATTGAAGAATCAGTACATGAAATTTTAATGAATTTGAAAGAAATTGTATTGAGAARTCTAAAAGATCTACTACTTTAATTCCTATTTCAAAAATAGATAATTTGGTATCTAACTAGATCGGGTAACCATTCGAATTAAGAACAGAAGCTGATTAATATTATATTTTTTTTTAAGAAAAAAAAAATGAGAGAGGTAGCGGAAGAAAGACTAAGGGAGAATGATAGAGATTAAGGGAGAAAAAGATATCAACCGAGAGGAAGAATGAGGAATAAGAATGTGTGTGTGTGTGTGTGAGAGAGAGAGAGAGAGAATGGGAGATAGGCTGAGGTTTTGATTTGGCTACATACCAAAGCTAGGAGAGTGGGAGATCAAGAGATGACTACGAGAGTAAGAGAAAAGGGAGGGAGATTAAGAGATGGTGGGAGTGAGAGAGAAACTGAAAATCTATTTTCGGTATAGGTTTTTTTTTTTTGTGTCCAACATGGATTAAGAGTCTCATGTTGTCAACAACCACATAAGCCTCTAATGACATGGCAGGGGGTTTTATAATTTGAAATGTAGAGTCAGTTGTCAGAGTTTTGTTGGTTTTTGGACCAACCTACAACCCAAACCACTAACCCACCACCCAAAAAGAAAAATGGATTGATTTTTAGGTTGACATTAAATCTTGTATTATATTTTCATCATTGAAAAACTTTTTTCTTATGTATAATACTTATTTTTGTTCAATATAATGAATGCATAATATTAGAGATGTACCCATTATTTTATTTTTATAAATATATAACATTAGATATGTGCCCAAAATTTTCTCTATCTTTTTTTTTATTTTTGTGATTCTTTGTATTTTCTATTTTTTAAAATTTTATTATTTGACCATTACATCATTTCATTTCTAGGTAGATTTTAAATTCGGCATTCCATTTTCATCATTAATAAAAAATACTTCTTACATTTCATACTTATTTATTTTAAGTTTTTTATTATTTAATTATGGAATTATTTATTAATCCATTTGACCCCAAATGATCAATTGTTTGCCCACCACCAAGAGGAAAGAAAATGCTTTTGTTTTCAAATTACTTTTCAAAATATTTATTTTTGTACTATTAAAATTAATATTGCGGATTTAATTACAAGAATTTAATGATGAGAAAAATATATCTTAAATATAAGATTTAATAAGAGAGAATAGGAATATATTTTTATTTCCAATTGGTTTTAAATTTTACATTCAATTTCCATCATTAATAAAAACATTTCTTATTTATCATATTTATTATTGTTTAATATGTATGTTAAAAATGTTTCCATTTTTTTATTTTAACTATTTTTTAATTTTATTATTTAATCGTGGCAACATGGATTAGCCCATTTGACCCAAAATGGTTTAATTTCTTACCAACACCTAGATGAAAACTCTAATTTTTCAGTAGATTTTAAAAGTATAAGCTTTTATGTTATTATAATTATTAATTTATTAAGTATGGATTTACTTAATAGAACTTAATGATGAGAAGAAACAAAAATGACTTAAATATAAGATTCATTGAACATGAATGCAAGTTAATAAATTAAATATTGGATTTATTGAGAGGGAATTGAATGTATTGAATATCATAAAATTACCTCTTTTCAACTTATTTAATATCAATAACCAGTTACCCTATTTGCCCTCACTTTTATCAATAAATTTAAATGTAGAAGGGTAAATTTTGTCCTAAAAAATTTCAAAAATATTCTTGAGGCCATTCGTGTTTTTTAAAGTAATATAATTTTGTGCATCAATATATCCAAACGTATCTGGTACACTGATGTCAATAAGATATGCACCATATCTATATTTTAATCCTTGGCCGCCCACCAATCTAACCAAACCAACATCCTACTCAGGCTGAACTGGACTAAAGTACTTATCCCTCAGGCAGTCAGGCTTGGCAGTGATTTAGATATCACATGATCTGAGAACAAAGAGCTTAGGAGTTAGGACTGCCAATGAAGCAAGGCTTCCATTGCAAAAATGACAAGAATATTACGTGCCAGCTCAGTCAATCCTGACTTGGGTCCTGCGGATGAATGTGGAGTATTACAGGGTAGAATACTCAATTTTGATGCACACAACCTATGAGTGAGGAGTCGATGATGGAAAATGTGAAAAAGGAATACTGGCCTCGAATTTAATCGAGCTCCTTGAGGCTCCAATTCAAAGCCAACGTGCCCAACCAAACCAAAGAAATTGTATGAAGTTGATATTAATAATGATTAACACATGTAAGATCATCAAAGAAGCAAAAAGAAAGCAAAAAGGAAGCAAAAAATTCAGAACCAGAAAAGAGGAAAGAAGAAAGTCCAAATTCAATTCATTCATTCCTTGTAGATGCCATGGTATAACAGCATAACAATCACAGAAGGCTTCTCTAGTTACAATGATATAGGGAAAATTAAACAGAATATTATACATCTGGTTAGGGGGCTCATTTCTTCCCTTTCCCTAATTAACACGAGAATTACAATGTGAAGGTTACAATAATACACAGTAGATATGGTATTGCACATGCATCTCCCTGGGCTTGCCAAATCATGCTCTCTCTTATTGGTTATCATGCAACTGCAAATTAAGGAAGACCCCATCTGCTGGCACTTTTGGTCCCCTTGGCTGACTTTGCATGCTTACCAGTTACCAGAACATCTTATACGGAAAGGTGTCATTCATGCACTCGTGTTTCAACTAAAAACTTCATTATCCAACCAGTCAGACTATACTAGGGGGATCTCCAACCCAATTGCAAACAGCACGAGGCCAGCGAGTTCTGATGCAATCCACTAGTGGCGCATGCTGTGGAGGATCAGGTTGAATCACTTCAATAACAGTATCTTTACCACTGTCATTCCCACTTGGACCAGGGGAGACAACAACATCCGCCAAAAATTCCTCAGGTGTCCACCTGGGTGGCACTGAAACTTTTAATTTGGTGAGTCTCGGTCTCTGTAGTGGACTCTCACCTCCAGATGTTGTTTGACTTCCATTCAGTACAGACTTCGCAATTCCATTAAAATGGTAGAGAGCAAAAACTTTCTTGCCCATCAATCCTGTAGAATCTTTCAGACCTCCTGAATTCTTGTCCAACTCCAGCACAACCTGCCAAAATTCACTCCATACTATAAAGCCTGTGCTGCAAAGGTGATTAAGCTTCTCAGGTGGCAGAGTGATGCTTGTTTCCCTGAGAACTTGATGAAACCCTTCCACACTGATGAAGCCTCCTCCTCCACTTTGGTCTTGTGCATCAAATGTTTTCCGGATCTGTGATTCCCGCTCTTCAAGTTCATTCTCATCTTGGACACTGGTATCAAGAGCAAAGAGGACTGTGTAATGTGATTCACTTCCAACTACCCATATTGGCCATTTTGGGCATTTCAGATTCTGCCCAACCTTACAGAAATTGAGAGACTCTAGAAGAGTGAGAAATCCAACTTCTACACTTGTAGGTATGCCCTTCAGAAACATGCCACCTCCTAGATCCATCCTCCCATCAAACACATTAGGGACAGCCTGCCCGCAAAGCAGTAGGTTTACAATTTCCTGTTCCATGACCATCAAGCAGCAAATAGTATTATTGTCCAATTCAACCAAATTAATGAGGGCAGCCAACAGCCGGAATGAACCTGGCAGAACAGATATTACAGTGAATCATGTACCTGTGAAGCATGACCAAACGGTGCAGTGACTAATGGTAAGCTAGGGTCATCTCTGTCTGCTTGAACAGACTCCTGAAACAAGAAAAATTTTAAATGCTTTAAAATGATAAACTGGAATTTTTTACAAGACTATAGTATCTACCCAAGCTGCATAGAGATCAATCAATAGAGTAAATTTGGCCCCATTAGAAATTCCCAGCTTCATGAGAGCCAATTCCTCTTCTTCTTTTTTTTCCTTTTATTTTTGATAATTAACATCAAGTAATTCATTCACATATCATGCTACCCAAAAAGCTGGATAACAGGGAAAAACAGTAAGACAAATACAATGCCGGCCAAAGCTGAAAGTAAAGCAAGACAGAAATCAGATGCTATGCAAATCCATTCCCAGCCCTTGAGTTTCCTATACAAGGTTTTCCCTAGTAACCATTCCTCGTTCATAGAAGAGCTCTCCTCATTCAGTAGTAAGAGAAGTGAAAAGCAGTTAAGAACAGGAAGAAACATCAGTTGATACTGGGGAAGGTTCTCTGGCTAACATTGGGTTTGCTTTGTGCTTTGTAAACTGAAGCTAGGAGAGAAATTTAACTCACAAATGCATGAGAGAGAAAAAACATGAATGTTATGAACTGAAAAACATACCAGTCCTCGAGAAAGTAATGCAGAAATGAGAAACAGTATTGCTCCCATACGACTTTGGAAAACAGGAAGCATTGACTTAATCCCATGAAAAGCATCCATCTTTGAATTATATGTCTTTACTCTTAAAAATTTATGCAAGTCTGAAGCTGATTCAACCTGAAAACCTTCCAGGGATTTTGCAATTGTCTGTAGATTAGACATAATAAACTCACCATAAGCAAATCAAGACACAGATGAGACAATATAGAAAAATAACTCTAAGATTGACCTATATGAGTGAAAATGCAATGTCAACTTAAAGATGACCAGCGACCACCTCATCCTTTTGACCATCTTCAGAACCTTCCTCGGCATACAGGCTGAAAACACTCAAAGTTGCAACAATAGCTCTTTTCTTACTTCCACATGAAAATAATATTTCTACCATACTTCGAACCAAAGCTCTGCAAAACATTAAGAAAGATGTCTAAATATTAAATGTCCCATGCAGAATCCCGGCAAAAGTTTCAGGAAAGCACTTGACTATGAACAATCGTCCAAACCTCCTAGATATTTGTTATGATTGGTTATAGACTCAGACAACACTGCCAGTGTGATATTGTCTTACAATGCCAGTCCCAAGACCAGATAAAGGAGGAAGGTTGTGTCAGGTTAGCAGCCAGCACTAAAACTTTGCCAACCTCCTATGAAGATGACTAAAATTGTTTGAAGGCAATCTATTGACCATTTCTGATTATCCCCAAGAAGAAAAATGACTTAAAAATAATAAATTACATAGATATTTCCATTTCCAGGCACACTGATTTTTCATTAGTTAAGTTCAAGAAGATTGAAAAAACAAGCATTGTAAGGGAACAAAGTTAGTCAAAGATAAAAAATTGATACATAAGCAAGATAGCTAGGAAAGTAAAAAAGAATAGATGAGCACATATAAATAGCAAATTACTTTACACTGACAAAAATTAATGAATCTTTCAGGGGGTTAGTAAACCAAAACCTTTGATGCATCCATGTACTGAATTCTTTATTTTCACACTATAGAAGAAACACATACAATTATCAGGAATCACACTATAGAAGAAACACAAGCACATGCAATGATCAGGAAATTATTGCAGAAGAATAATCACCTTGCCCTTACAGCTTCAGTTAGAGAAGCAAAATTACCCGACGTGACACATTCACTTTGAGACAATCTCCTTGCACCCGTATCTTGTGACATCAGGTTGGTTGCACTTTTACCTGCTTCACCAGGGAAAAACAAAAGGTATTTGAGGACAAAGGCCTGCACGAACAAAGAAAGACAGCATTGTAAGACAATAACAAAGGCTATAGAAGAAAAAAGATCTGCATAGGCATCAAGTACTGAAATATACCATCAAGGTAAGCAGCATAATGAACATAATCTCATGATTCATCATACCAACAAGAATAAGTTGGTCATATATGATAGATAAAGATCAACACAACGAATATGGATCCAACTCAAGATGAACAACAAACAAAATTAAGAAAATGAATGATCCAGAGTTACAGACGAAAAATATTCATACAAGATCTTTACATCAAAGACAACGGCAAAACATCTACTCGTAATGATCAGCACTAAAACCAAGCAAAGAGAAACACATTTTTTGTAATAAAATAAAATTTATTAAAAATAAAAAGAGAAAATACAAGGGAAGTGACCAATAGTCACCTAGTGAAAACAACAATACAACCCTACAAACCAAGAACCATGAAGATCACACAATGAACCAAGACAAAGGCGCAACACACCCAACTCCATCAGCAATAGCAACCAAACCAAATCCCAATCACTGGAGACCCGAACTAGAAAAATGAGAAAACAACCAGCCACAAAAAGAAACTCCTAAGATTTCCCCGCAACCTTGGAACCTTGAAACCCAATAAAAGCAAATAGAAACTCATGCAATTATTAACCAGATTCCCTGGCAGCATGAATCAGAAGTTCTTTAATCCTCTTTACCTTCCTACTAGGCCCAACCCCAAAGAATACCACCTTTTAACCTTGTGAATACTTTCAAGGGATTGTTATGCTTCAGCCATAAAGGTTTGGTTTAAAAGCATCTTCAGGAGGAGGAGTCTAACCTATAAGGGACATATCTTTTCAGAAATAGGGGTAGCTACAGAATTTCCTTTCTGAAATTTGAATAAAGTCAGATGCCAAACATATATCAGCACTTCCACTTAGATGGCAACAGTTTGATTTGTCATATCTATATACATATACATATGCATCTCACTTTCTCATCCACCATCTATTTTCTGAAATTTGAATAAAGTCGGGTGTCAAACATATTCCGGCACTTCCACTTAGATGGCAAGAGTTTTATTTGTCATATCTATACACATAGATGCATGCACTTTCTCATCCACCATCTACATAAAGTTTCAGTTACATCTACTATCCCTATTACATTCTTTTAAATTGCACCATAAAAGCCAACCAATTTCAGATGTGTCTTTTAACATATCAAATTCAAAATAACCATGCAGACAGTTTGCATTTCAATATTTTCCAAAATCCCCATGTCAAATAGCAGAGGTGCCAAACTTGTAATGTGGGCCTCTAGAAAGTTTTTGGTTTTGTAAATGAACTTTATTTTGGTGGGTGGGTGGGTGTACGTGGGTGGGCAACAGATAGAGAGAAAGGCTGCAAACAGATAATATCGAATTTGGTAAGGGGTATATCCGATTCTATTCAATAAGAAATTCAACCGATCTGGATTCGATAAGAACCTGTCAGATTTCTACGATTATAATTCGGATTTGAATTTGATTATCTTATTGGGCATCCGATTTGATTTGGATTGTAGTAAAAAAAAACTTGATGATATAATATAAAAATATATTGTATTATTTATAAAATATAAAAATATATTATTTATATAATATATAAATAATATATAATGTATAATATTTCACAACTATCAGATAGAATTTAGATTCAAATCAGTTCAGATCCAACTTATTTGAAGCCCAGAGAAACAGAGAGAGAAAGACCATCAAAACTTCATTAGGGCAAAAAAGAAAAGGTAAGGTTGTTACTTAAAGACTTAGCAATTAGGCATGGATGGAACAGGCAAAATTGCAGGGTCTACCGGTCTAGTACTAACAAACAAGTATAAGTTATTCAACATTAATTTTGGATGCATTGGCTGTTCTTATAGAAAATAACATAAATTCAAAAACATATTCTTCAAGGAAGTCTGAATGCATTACATGGGTCGATCAAATTGCAAATTGACAAGGATGCAAATAGAAAATTATGGCATCACCTGAATGGTTGCTAAAACGCCACAAGGCCCACCTTCATGTTGCACAAGGCCCATGGATGTTTCTGGATCAGAGCTAAACCTATAATAAAGTTTTATGAAGCAAATAAATAAAGGAGCTTGAAACCACCATTGTATTATACAGGACTACAAATCAATAATTAAGAAAGAGAAATGTGAAGCAGAACTCTAAAACCTCTATATAAAAGCAACACAAGAAAATAAGGGAAAGATAACACACAATAATGAGATTATTTCCATAAGAGAATAAGACAGCTGCTAAACTTTGCTACACTCATTCTTCCACTGTGCATCATACAATACTCCCGCAGTTGGATTTCAGCTTTCAGTACAGAATATAGATAGTTAACCTCATAAAAGGGAAAAGACAATGGAGACAACAGGGGTGAGGGATCAGAAAATTAGTGGTCTCGAAAGAGAAAGAAGCAATGCCAAGGAGACATATGAATATAGGAGTTTTAAAGAAATACAATAACTGAACAATGTACAATTGTTAATTGGTTATTTGTCCTGAACTGAACTTGTATGAGGTTAAAATTTAGGAATAGGGGATGGAACCAGAGCTTCAGCAGAAAACAGCACAAGGTTCTTGTAACTAAGGGCAAAGCAGCTTTTGGAGAGAGAGTGGGGGAGCAGGGGTGGGGAGAGTAATATTTTCTTCTGCTTGCAATGAAAAAATATCAGACTTGTCATTTCATTAACCTATTATATGTTTTCACTTAATACCTTTCTGATTCTCCCAGTAACTCAAAAAAGGATGGAATCAGAAATATAGTATGTAATATCAAGTATTTTAACCCATTGTGTCTGCACTTTTATGAGCACCACCACCTAGTTGATAGGCAAGAAAAATTCATTAGGGTATGAATGGCTGAAACCATAGATCTAACATTGATATTATCAAACAATTGAGAATCATGGTGTTGGAAAACATTAGGTGTCTAGGTTTCTAGTTTCTACAGGCAGGTTTCTGTATCAAAGTCCAGAAGAATTTCCACAGTGTAGCATTATGATTGGAAAATTAATGTATATATGATATTTCTAATACAAGGCATAGTACCACAAAGTCAAAAATTTCACTTCCATTTTCAGATGTGATTTTAAAGAATAAAGAGCCAGGTACTAAACATCCATGACAATACAAATGATAGCTCTACAGTCACCAAAAACGCAAAAAAAATTACAAAACTGATCAAACAAAGTTGGACTCCTGATACTCATCCAATTAAAAAATCAAAGATTTGGAAAGCGAAAAAGCAATATATGCCCTTACCTTATACCCTGATTACTCCATTGAGCAAGAATATCCCTCGAAACGCAACCTCCAAAAACCATTGAAAACAATTGTTCTGCTTCTGCAGGCAATAGTTCTTCCCCAATATTCCCATTCTTTGCTTCCTCCCCCGTATACAGCATCTTGGATTTTTCTCCTACAAAGCCGGAAGTAACAATCTTTTCCGCCTTTAAAACGGGATCGCTCGGCTCCGGCGCGGCAACCACTACGCTCTTCTCTGCCTTTGCGGTGGCAGCGTTCTTTGCCAACATCATCCTCTTCTCTGCCGCCGCAGCCATAAGCTCCCGCTGCAACTTTCGATTCTTCGCCTCGGGGGACTCCTCCGGATTGGAAGAAACACTTGTAGTACCGGCATTCTCCCTAGGTTTGCTCCTTTTTGCCTCAGGGAGCGATGGTTGAAGACTCATACGCAAAGCCATCTGCAGGTCTTCTTCTTCCTGATCCGCCATGAAAAGCTACTTCTCGTCCAGATCAGAAGACAAGCCCTAGCGACTCCGATTCAAAATTCCCAATCGGTCTAAAAGTTGCATATAAAAATCAAATTGTCCACTGATCATCACTGTTTGTCGATCCGTCTTCGTTAGTAACTATTAAATGAGAGAACGAGAGATCAAATATCGAAACCCTAAAAATTCAAGAAAAGCAAAAAAAGAAATTTTAATTGCTTGACAGAATAATCAGTAAACTTTTCATCTTAATTTCACCGTCAGTACGCCGGCCAGGCCGGGGAAACGGAATATATTGAAGTAACCTTAACCAACGATCTTTTACGTTATCAGGAGGATACTTTGTATAAAATGACTGTTTTATCCCTGCTCCTCAAGCATTAGTAGTACGAAGTGTCGAAGTAATCCGGGAAAGGCTAACGTCTGTAGAAAAATACCGGCGGAGACTTGCCATTTATGAAAGGCTAACGTCTGTGTTTTGATATCAAGTCCATCAGGAAATTGTTTTTAGCAGTTGATAAGCAATTTGAAGAAAAAAGAAGAGAGAGAGAGATACGTTCTTTGCGGTCAAATCGGCATCTACTTCGGGGTGATGAAGTTAATTGACGAATCAATTTTTGGTGATGTATCAATTTTTTGTGCTAAGTAACTCGTCATTTGGTCTACTTCCAAGTGGTTGATGACTCAGAGGCCGAATTAAATTTTTGTTGGATGGGGACCTGGATGCTGAGCTGACCAAGCCGAGCTGGGGGTAGATTAGGTGTCGAGTTAATTGGGCAAGCTGGGCAGGTTAGGTGCCGAGTTGCCTATTAGTTGTCGAGCTGACCAGAGAGCCAAGCTGCCTATTAGTCGTCGAGCTGACCAAAGGGACGAACTGCCTAGTGGCGAGCTGGATTGATTGTTGAGCTTCGTAGTTCTTTAGAGACCTGCAAGGAATCAATGTTAGAGGACCCAGGGTGGTTAACCCGGCGAGATCACTCTGATGCTTAAGTCAATACTCTCATAGTAGACTGCGAGCTAAAAATCACAAATTATGAGAACTAGAATATGCTTACTTGCCCCCCCTATGCCATTGGGGTTGGTGCCTTTATATAGGCATTGTTTGGCGTGGGCTTCACACACCGCATCCAAGATTTCTAAGAAGTCGTCTAAGTGGTCTGATATTCCCTGAGGCAACCGTCATGCACATTGACCACCCTCTGGATCGTTCGACACGTGGGCCAACTTCCAAGAATCGTATGAGTGTTAGGATATGCATGCCGAATTTGTCGATGAGCACATCTCGCGGGTCACTAGGTCAACGCTTGTGCCAAGCTGCCAGTTCGGCGCCTATGCCAGGCCGCCAGTTCGGCGCCTGTGCCAAGTCGCCAGGTCGCCAAGTCAGCGCCTATGCCAGGTCGGCGCCTGTGCCAAGCTGCCAACTGGGACACCATCATCTTGGATAAGGCAAATTGCTACCTAAGTGGTTCCGGATGTCACCTAATTGTTCCGAGATACCATGTGTCACAATGTCATTGGAGGGCCAAATCTGCCCTCATCATTAATAGTTCTCATCATCTACAAATTAATGGTCAGATCACTTGTAGTCTTATAACGTGAACCAAATTCTGCATGTAATTGTTTGGTTGAAGTGCAAATAAGTTTGTATTGATACAAAATTATGGTAGTGCAAATGATTTGAGCGTAAATTCTAATTTATTTTTATTCTAAATTTTACCATATTTTGTTTGATTGTAGTACAAATGAAATAAAATAAGACGTAATAAAATCCAAAACAAACAAAAATTGTATTCTTTTCAATTGCACTCCTATGCATGTATATTAATACAAATAAAATTGCACTGCAACAAAACACAGCCAAAAGAACAAATGAAAGCCCGCTTGTTTGTGGTGTAATTTCATTTGCCTTTAGCATTAGTAGAGATGCATGAAGGTATAAATGAAAACAATGCAATTTCTGATTTACCTCTGCTTTGGATTCTGCCTTATTTTTGTTTCAGTTTTATTACTTTATTGCAGACAAATATGATGAGGCAAAAAACAGAAGTAAATCAGAATTTGCTCCCAGATCGTTTGCAATCTCATATTTTTGCATTGAAAATAAAGTTGCACTGCAAACGAATTACGCTTAACAATCATAAGATATGACTCATTTAGTTATTTATAGTTTGGGATGACTAATTTATATGCACTCATGCAAGTAAGTATTTAAGGTTTAAGAGCTGCATTGGAACCAAGTATTTAAGTATTTATATGATTAATTTATGTGCCATATGATATATGGCATTTGGATTTAAGGTTTAAGAGCTGTATTGGAACCAAGACAAGTATATTTTTATAGAGATTAATTCATTTTCCCTTGTTACTTAAATGAAATAGAGTAAACCCATTACTTTTTTTGTTCACTTTTTTTAACCCATTACTACTTAGATATCTTATAAGGAAATCCTAGAAATCTTCAAATATAAATAAAAAATAATAATGGCTTAAAAAATAAAAAATAGTTTACGGGACAAACTTAGGGTTAATGCTATTAATTAACAAATAACCTATGTAAGAATATTGCCTTTTTTTTTTGAGTGTTACAAGTAGGGGTGGCAACGAAGTGAGTTTTTCAAGAGCTATTCGAGTTCAGTTCGGTTCGATTTAAACTGAACTTTGAGTCAAAGTCAAGCCTAATTTACAAACTCATTTGTTAATCAAGTCAAGCTCGAGCATAATAAAGATCGGCTCATGAGGTTCACGAGCCTAATCGAGCTTCTACATACATACATACATACATACATACATACATACATACATACATACATACATACATTATAATATTTTTATTTTTATTTATAATAATAATAACTAATTATTAATTTTTAAATATCAAATAAAATACTTTTTTTATATATAATATTTTTACTTTTATAAAGCATTTGACTCATTGTTGAGCTCGAGTCGAGCCGAGCTCAAGCTCAAGTCTCTAGCTCGAGCCTCATACGGTCTTGGCGAGCCAAGCTCGAATAACTAGCTATTCGGCTTGGCTTAGCTCGAATCCACTCCTAATTTCAAGTTTAATTTAAACCATTGTTTTGAAAACTTTGTCAAGCATTAAACCTGAAAAATAGGGTCTTGCTTAGGGTTGTCAATGGATTGGATTCAGCCCAATGGACCCAAATTGATTGGGCCGGCCGAATCTAGTTTCGAGATCTGATGGATCGGTTCCAGCTCATGATCTATTGTTACAATTATTATTGATTCGGAACCAGTTCTACCCAGTCCCAAGAGTAATGATATCTTTGATTTGTGTCCTATTTAACACCAAAGTATGAAAGTACATCTTATTAAATGAAAAAAAAAATACATTAATATGTACAACATAAATACATATAAAATATAAGGCTTTACACTCTATATATTTAGATTTGTAAAACACGAACCAAAAATACATAAGGCTTTGCACCGAAGTTAAACTCAAATAGAAAATATATGAAAAGAAAGACTCAACATTGGCCATGGGCGTGTTCACTCATTGATTTCGTAGCCTGTTAACCGTGTATGCCTTTGTTCATAGCTCATCCGATACTCAAAAAGAAATATACCAGGTTCCTGGTTCAACTTGGTTTAGGTAGTTCAATTCTAGTTAAACTAGAATGCAGATGGTTTAATAATGTACTTGGATCTCTCTTACACCTCTCGTTATTTACTGCCCTGGAGTCTATTGGATATCATGTATAAATTTTGTACCTGATGGTTATCAATTTCAGGACATAGGTAGGGGGTGGATTGTTACCTGAAAAAAAAAGGTAGGGGTGGATTCGAGTTGAGTCAAATTGAATAATCTAGCTATTTAAGTTTGGTTCACCAAAAAAATGTTAGGCTCAATTTCGACCTTGACCTTAATTTGAAATAGAGACTTGAGCTCAAATTCAGCTCGGCTCAAAAGCTTGTACACAGTTAGGCTTGAGCTTGATCGTAAGCCAAGCTTCCTATAAAAAAATAAAAATTATACATATAAAAATTATTTTTTATTTTGCATACAAAAAATAAAAATTATTTGTTATTATACATAAAAATAAAAATATTATGTATAAAAAATATTATTATACATATAAAAAAATTATGTATATATGCATGTATTAGGCTCAAATAAGCTCACAAGTCAAAACTGAGTTTCATTAGGCTCGAGCTCAGTTTAAATTGAGCCGAATCGAGCTTTTTACAAGCCAAATTCGAATAACTCGTGAAAAGCTAAGTTTCCACCTCTAGACATAGTCACATAGGTGATGTTCTTTTGTTGAACCAATTATGGCAAGCAAGAAATGAAGCTATATTCAATGGAGTACCTCTTAATCCCTGCAAAGTCATCATTAGAGTTCATGACAAATATTGAGTGCATGTTGCCCTCTATTCATCAAAGTGTGAAGTTGTCTACCATCATTATTAGTGTTGAGTGGGGTTATTTCCTTCTAGTCTCAAATCTGCTACCCACAAGATGTCCCCATATTCCTATTCATGAGCAAGGTTCAAAATTTCGTTATGACCGATACGTATCGTATCTTTGAGGTTTTGGTACGGGGAACGGTACCAAATCTTTAGTACCGTTCCTTTTCGCCGTTCTGGAAATATATTGTGTCCGTATTAGTAATGTTTCGGTGAGTATCGGCCTATTTCGGTGTTGTATCGACTGATACAATGCGATTTTACTGTTGTAGAAAACCAAAAAAAATTTCATTCGAAAGAGGGCTTCTAATTCTTCCCAAAACACTCTAGAAACCTTCATACCATTCTTGGAGATTGAAATCTAGCCAAAACCCACCAAAGCATCCACAAATTTCTAAGATCCAACAAGTTTTTCAAAATTGTTAAAAAACGAGCAAAAATATGTATGTTTTTTCATTTTTTTTTACAATCTCAGCCAATGTTTTTGTGTTTTCTTAGTTTGGATGCTTAGAAACATCTTTGTGTATGTTGATATGTTATTCTTGTACAAAAAATCCCATTTATTTTGCTCCTATATATAGATCTTTGTGAATATTTGAAAATTTTCTAGAGTATTAAAAATCTGAAAGAAATGAAAATTTTAGGTTTTTTTTGTGATCTACCTCTAAATATTGATTATGTTGTAGATCTATGGATGATCTATCATGTCCATATATCAATTTAAATTTCTTCTAAATAATTAATTTTTTTATTTTTAGAATAATATATAATATATAGATAATTTCTTCAGTTATTTTATGATCTAACCCTATAGGTTGAATATGTTGTAGAGCTAAGAATGACATCAATACATTGAAATATCATATGA